CTTGGGTAAGGCACACCTTGGACATCAAAGCGACATCTTTACTTTTTAAAACTTTAAAGAGGTCTTTTGCAGCAAATTTGCCCAATGCAATACATCTTAACTAATACATAAACCATTGTGACTTGGGGCTTGCTTGTTGCTACAACTCAACCTAGACTAATCCTGACTAAAATAAGAAGGAAAGATGTTATTTTATACAAGTAGTAAATGAGTGACAAGTAGAGAAACAAAGTTTATTATATTTGATTTTTATGCCAGATTTTTCTTAAAATTTTTAAATGCTTTTAGGAATTCAGGAGAGTTGAACATCAGCATGGATTAATTGACTTAAATGTTGCTAGACACTTGGAATGGACTTGCTTTGTGGGATCCCTTTTGTCTCAGTCTAAGTTCATCTCCTTCAACTCACCCTTTAGCTCTTCTGGCAGTTGGAGCTCACCTTCTTACTTACTACATAGAAGTTTTCATGTAGGAGGAGATGGATGACTTGTGCTCACGGACCTGCCTCAGCTTTCTATGCCTCAGTCTTTTATGTTGAGGGATATGCACCACTGGGATATGTTACTGCTGCTGTCCTTAGGAGGTAGTTCCAGAAAGTTAGGCCTGTAGAATAGCAAGTATTGTTCTCTCCATAGTGCCAGATTTATGTAGTTCATTTTAAGTCACTCAGAGCCCTTCAGGTACATATTAGTTATTCCTTAGGTATACTTGTTACAGTGATAGCAGTGTAGCAAAATATCCCAACAAAACCTTAAGTTGTGGTTTAACCCACTGAGAACTTGTTTTTTTTTTTTTTGAACTTGTGTTTTTTTATGTTAAGTTGCTTAAAAAAAAAACAAACAAACAACCCTTTGCCATTAAGTCGATTCGGACTCATAACGGCTCTATAGTACAGAGTAGAACTGCCCCATAGGGTTTCTAAGGAGTGGCTGGTGGATTCGTAACTACTGGTGCCACTAGGGCTCCGAAGTTTCTTTATATACAGTATATGGATTTGTTGCTGAGCCTTCTATTCTATTCCATTGATCTCTATGTCAATCATTGAGCCAGGACCATGCTGTTGCTCTTGCTATGACTTTGTAGTATATTTGGTTCGCGAGTCTCCCCTCTCCACTCTTCTTTTTTAAAGTTAACTTATTTATTTATTGAGTTCCTTAAAAAGAAATACAAGTGGAATTTTTTTTTGCCTTTTTTCTTTTTTTTTTGGTAGTAAAAATATATTTGTCATTTCAACATTTTTTACATTTACAATTCAATGACATTAATTATGTTCATCATGTTGTACAACCATCACCACTCTCTATTTCCAATTTTGTCCATCATTCTTAACAGGAACTAACTGCCCCTGTGCAATAACTTCCCCTTCCTCCTTCCTCCCACTCCTGGTAACTAGTAATAAACTTTGGTTTCTATACATTTGCCTATTCTAGATATTTCATATCGGTGGAATTATACAATATTTGTCTTTCGTGACTGACTTATATCACTCAGTATAACGTTTTCAAGGTTTATCAAGGTCATAGCTTGTATCAGGACTTCATCTCTCTTTATGGCTGAGTAATATTCCATTGTGTGTATGTACTACATTTTGGTTATCCATTCATCTGTTGATGGACATTTAGGTTGGTTACACCTTTTGGCTATTGTGAATAGCATTGCTATGAACACTGTGTACAAGTATCTCTTTCAGTTTTTTATCCACTTTCAATTCTTTTGGGTAGAAACCTAGGAGTGAAATTGCTGGGTTATATGGCAATTCCATGTTTAACTTTTTAAGGAACTACCACACTGTACACAGCAGTTGCATCATTTTACAATTACACCAGCAATGGACGAAGGCTCCAATTTCTCCGCATCTTCACCAATACCTGTTGTTTTCCATTTTTTAAATCATAGATATCTTGTAGTGGTTTTGCTTTGCATTTCCTTAATGACTAATGATGTTGAACATCTTTTCATGTGCTTATTGGCCATTTGTATATCTTCTTATCTGTAGTTTGCCTGTTTACTTTGTTGATAAAGTCATTTGACAAACTAAGTCCGTCCAATGGGGAAAGAATAGCCTCTTTAATAAATGATGCTGGGACAACTGGGTTTCCACATGCAAAAGAAAGAAGTTAGACCTATACCTCACACTATATATGAAAATTAACTCAAAATGGATCAAGGACATAAGCATAAAAAGTAAAACCATAAAACTCTTAGAAGAAAACATAGGAGTAATGCTTTGGGACCTAGTTTTTAACAATGAATTATTAGATATGACACCAAAAGCATGACCAACAAACAACAAAATAGATAAATTGGACTTCATCAAAATTAAAAACTTTTGTTCGATTGGAATTTTGGTTGGGATTACATTGAATTTATGGGTTAATCTTTAATATAACTAGGTCTTTATAGTATTAAGTCTTCCAATCCAAAAGTATAGACTATGTTCTATTTATTCAGATCATTTTCTGTTTCCTTTATTAGAATTTTAAATGATTTATATAAGTTTTGTATATTCTTGGTTAACTCCTAGATATTTATAATTCTTGTTGCTTTTGTGAATGATATCTTTTTAGTAATATTTTATAATAATTATTGAGGGTGGAGAGAGATGTTGAATTTCGCAGGTTGACATTTTATCTGGCAAACTTGCTGAACCTTATTCTAATTCGTTGAGTGTTTTTCCTAAGTTGACATTTTTCCATTGCTACAGTAAGAAGTATCCCCAGGTAGTCTCTATGGTGGGTGGATGGGGGAAAGTTAGGGGAGTGATGACTCATTAGGAAGGGGTGGAAAATGCTTTCCTTCTCCCCCTACTCTAGGGAGGGGGCTTGGCCTCTGTGTTTCTAAGATCTGGATTCCCCAAAGCTCCAGAAACTTGCTAGTCGGGTCATGAACCACAATCATGACAGAAAAGGTGGCCTGTAGTTCTCTGGTTATGCGGGAGCCAAAAAATAAAGAGGGAGGGTATCTAGGGAGGGTATCTAGAGAGGAGGAGAAAGGAATAGGGGCTGAGGGGGAGGTCATTCTGTCCCTGGGAAGTATCAGGTACAATGGATGATAAAAGGATCTCCAGAAGAGTAGCTGGACCTGAAGACCTGCTGTCCAGGAGTAGCACTCAAAAACACCCTAGGGAACATTTGGTCACTGAATGTAGGAACAGGGAGCGAGGAGCTCAAACACCTGGGAGGCCGACTTGGACACCTGACAACCCCCTCCCACCACCAGTCCATGCTGACCAATTAAACGAGCTGTGTAGGAGGAAGAGGCCCTACCCCTTCAGTAGTCATATGCATTGCTGTGACACTGACTAATACCCAAATCTGCCTCAGCCCAGGAACTTGTCTTCATCAGGGTGTGAACTTCCTACATCCTCAGAGCTGAAACCAGAAAGCACGGCAGAGTTGGGGTCCCATCACTTGGTCCTGAAAAGAAGTTTGCTGAGAGAGGGTGATTGTTTACTGAGAAACTGTAGCTAAGCATTAAGGTTACTTTGGTCTGGAAACTTCTCTGCACCCCTGAGAAAAGTGGTGAAATGGGGCTGCACAGGGTCCTACAGGGCAGTAGCTGGAGGCACTGGATTCCCAGCTGTGATTAGTGACCCTGTTCAGTCATTGGCTGAGTGACTGTAAAATTAGGAAGTGAAGAGGGGTTTGTATTCCCCTCCCTGCCCCCTCCTTCAGGGCATGAAATTATAAAAACATTAAGTGCAGCTGGCACAAATGGTTTGCACCCATCTGCTAACCTAAAGGTGCATGCTTCAAACTAACCCTGAGGTGCTGTAGAAGAAAGTTCTGGCAATCTGCTTCCATAAAGATTATAGCCAAGAAAATCCTATGGTGAATATTTCTACTCTGTAACACATGGGGTCACCATGAATCATAATTAACTTGACAGCAGTGGGTTTGGTTTATTTGTTTTTTTAAATTTTTGTTCTGTACTGACTACTGCTCCTGTTTTCATCCCTCTACCAGCCTTTAATGAATTCCACACCCCAGGTACCCAGAGCTCTGAACCTACAGAATCTCTTCTAAGAAATTTGCTCCTTTTTTTGTTCGTCCTCTCTTTCTCTGATTTTTGTGTGTGTGTGTGTGTGTGCTAAAATACACATAACATAAAATTTACCATCTTAACCATTTTGGGGTGTACAATTCAGGGGTGTTAAGTACCTTCACAATGATATATAACCATCACTACTATCCATTTCCAGATCTCTTTTATCATCCCAAACAGAAACTTTATACCCATTAAACAATAGCTCCCCATTGCCCTCTTCCCCTCAGCACCTGGTAACCTCTATTCTACTTTCTGTCTCTACGAATTTGCCTATTCTAGATACTGCATATAAGTAGAATCATACAATATTTGTCCTTTTGTCTCTGGCTTATTTCGCTCAGCATAATGCTTTCAAGGTTCATCCATGTGTAGCATGTATCAGGACTTCATTCCTTTTTTTTTACTGGATAATCTTCCATTGTATGTATATACCACATTTTGTTTATCCATTCATCTATTGATAGACACTTGAGTTGGTTCCACCTGTTGGCTGTTGTGAATAGTGCTACTATGGACATTGGTGTAGAGAATTTGCTTTTTTATTATTTTTATTTTATAGAGGCAAGGATGAGCAGAGGCATCCAGACAGGTCTTCCCACGGTGAAGCAGGCAGATGCCCTGAGATACCACTCTAATGGCAGAACCCTTGGGTCTCTGGGGACAGACGGGCCTGGCAGTGCTGGCTGCTAAACAATCCTTGAAGATATCAGAATTTCCTTGTAAATTTATTACTAGAAAAGGAAAAAAAAAAAAAAAAGGAAGATTTTTTTGGAGCAAAGAAGCCAGACAAAGGGCCAATGGGATGAGAACAAGTAAGCCTGTTCGGGTAACACAAATCCCCTGGGTTTGTCAAGGTGCTTCTGAGAGCTGAACAGCCAGGCCCAGGTCAGACCCAGGGCTCCCCCAAGCCCACAGGTGAGGTCTGTGTTTCTGGGTGTGCTCCTCGTTTCCTGTTATGGCCTGTCTCCACACACCCGAGAGACTGCAAAACATCGACTTGCGGTGACTCAGCTTTATAAATAGGACATTTACAGCGAAAATTAAGGGAAATTTGCAGAGTCTCCTGCCTGGGCTTATTTTAGGTGTGCAGCTTACACGAGTGAAGTCCCGCCGGCCATCCTCCAGTCTCCGCTCCCTACGGCATCCTTGGGTATCTGAGAGGAACAAGGAAGGGAGGCGTCCATCTCCAGTCTTATTCAGACACTGCTGAAGGAGACGAGCAGCTACATTTGTCTCACTTCCCATGTGTCAGACACTGGGCTGAGCTTTTAACCTGTGTTATCTCACTGAATTTACTTACTCTCAGGAAGAAGGTACATTTTTATTCTCATTTTGTAGATGGGAAGGAGTCTCTGGGTGGGGCAAAGGTTAATAATGTGCTTGGCTGCTAACAACTGAAAGGTTGGATGTTCGAATCCACCCAGAGGCATCTTGAGAAAGGTCTGCTGATCTACTTCCCAAAAATCAGTCATTGAAAACCCTATAGAGCCCACTTCTACTCTGACACTCATGAGGTCGCCATGAGTCGGAATCAACTTGTTGACAACTGGTTTCTGGTTACTGGTAGATGAGGAAACTGGTATTCAAACCCAGGTTTGACTCACTCCGGATCTCAAGAGATTAACCACAGACTCAACTTCCCCTGTACACAGAATAAGAAAGAAAAAGAACCATAGTAAAGAATGGGGAGACCTGTGTTTTCTGGAGAGAACGACAGGAGCAAGGTACCAGTACCCTGGAACTTTGGTTACATTTTCCTTCCCTTCTTTCCCCCAGGTACGCATTTCTTGGCAGGGGGCCTTTTCTGGAAAGCCAGACACAAGCTTTAAGTGGCTCAAAGACCCCTGCTGTCCCTGGTTTGACGGAAAAACTGGGAGAACTGCTTACACCACGGCAGGAGGCTCTGCAAGTGGGAGGCTGAGGCCATTGCAGGGCTGAGACCTAAATGCTGTCCAGACGTTTGCCCAGCAGCTCCCAGTGTGCTTTGGGGCAAGCAGCAGGAGCAGCTCTCACTGAGTCATTGAATGCTGAGGCATTAAACAGAAATGTGGATGCAACGCCTTTTAATGGCTCCCAACTTCTTCTACTCCCTCATAATTAACCAGGATCTCTATCTCCAAGGAGTCTAGTTACAAAGAGAGGGCTCTGCTGCCAGGCTGCTGGACAAGGTGGCATCTTCCACATTCCTGTGAGGAAGTGGTGCACTCATGCCTTTCATCAAGCAGCAGAGTTGCCAGTGCTTCTCTGAGCCACGGAAATGTATTTCCAACAATCCGTGAGATTTCTCATCCTAGTTGCCACCTAAGCACCTGGATTTATCAAGTTCAAACAGAGCAGCTCAAGCTGGCTTGTCTTCTTCAGTTCTCTTTTAGTTAATGACCACACCTTCTACTAATCATCCTTGTTAGAAACCATCAAATCATCCTTAATTCCTCTGCTTCTCTCCTTTCCATCTTACGTCTAACTGATTCTCCCTCCTAGCGTCTTTGCCTTTAGGAGGTTCCCATTCTCCCCTGGTCAGGGACGGATTAGCAAATCAGCAAGGTATGCCCAGATTTACTTCTGCTTACTTCCTAATCAGTAGCGCACAATTTCACATGTTACCCATGTGAAATTGTGTGCTACAGATTAGTAAGGAAACACAATTAAGCTCGTGCATACTTTGCTTACTGGTTAACTCGCCCCTGCCTGGACTACATAACAGATGCTGTGTCCTGGCCACACCGCTCCCTGCCCTGCCTTTTTCTGACTCAGGGGTGAGTGCATGACCAAGCTGAGCTAACCAGAGCCCCTTCCAGGATTTTTCAAACTGAAGTATGGAGTGAGACGCCTGGGTTGTCAAAACAAACAAATCAGCCACTGAAACGCCTGTGCAGCACAGTTCTACTCAGAAACACATGGGCTGCCATGAGTCAAAGTTGACTCGATGGCAACTGGTTTTATCCTCTCTGGTTGCTAGCTGGAAGGCTGGGAATCCAGAGAGGCCTGTGGCCATATGTCCTGCCACCTAAAAGCCTGCCTGCAGTAGGGGAAAAGAAAACCAGGCTGCAGAGAGAAGCCACTTGAGCGATGGAGAGAGAATTCCTGATGGGTGAAGTTCCTGATCCAGTCGTCCCTGAGCCCGGCTTCACCCTCCCTCTAACCCATCCTCCACAAGGCCACCAGAAATCTTTTCCATTTTTCCAGCTTTTTATTTTGAAAAAGGTCAAACCTGCAGAGACATTTACAGAATAAGCCAATGAACACCCACATACTCTTTACATAGATTCACCAAATCCTAGCATTTAGCCACGTTTGCATTCTCTCTCTTTTTCTCTATGTATACATGTATGTGTTTTTCCTGAACCATTTGAAAATAAGTTTCTGATTTCATAACTCTTCTCTCTTAATTATTTCAGCATGTACTTCCTAAGAACATGAGCTTTCTCCTGCATAATCGCAATACCACCATCACTGTCAAGAAATTTATTAAGGATATAATAATATTAGCTAATATATACCCATATTCAATTTACCAAGAGAAATTTGAACATAGAGATATATTAGATAATATTGCAGGTTTTTTTTTTTCAATCCAGGGTGACACATTGCATTTAGTTGTCATATCTGTTTAAATCAAACCAAACTCATTGCCATTGTGTCAATTTCAACTCATAGCAACCCTATGGGACAGAGTAGAACTACCCCATAGGGTTTTCAAGGCTCTAATCTTTATGGAAGCCAACTGCCACGTTTTTCTCCCTCTAACTGCAACCCATTAGGTTAGCAGCTGAGCACTTAAGCACTGCACCACCAGGGCTCCTTCATATCTGCTTAGTCTTGCATAATCTAGAATAGTTCCCCCACTCTTTTTTGTATTTCATGATGTTAATATTTTCTGTAGCATATCTCTCAATCTGAATTTATTGTTACCTCATGATTAGGGTCATACCATATATATGCATATATATTAATTTTGTTTTGTTGAGAGTATACACAACAAAACATACACCAATTCAACTGTTTCTACATGTACAATTCAGTGACATTGATTATATTTGAGTTGTGCAACCATTCTCACCCTCCTTTTCTGAGTTGTTCCCCCCCATTAACATAAACTCACTGCCTCTTAAGATTCCTATCTAATCTTTCAAGTAGCTGTTGTCAGTTTGATCCCATATAGATAGAGCTTGAAACAGCACAATGCTTGAGGCAGACATTCTTTACTAGTTAAGCTAAACTATTGTTTGGGAAGATTTCAGGGATATTTTTGGTTTAAGCATTAAAGATTATCTCAGGCAATAGTTTTAGGGGTTCACCCAGCCTCCATGGCTCCAGAAAGTCTGGAGTCCATGAGAATTTGAAATTCTGTTCTGTATTTCCCCCATTTTGATCAGGATTTTTCTATAGAATCTTTGATCAAAATGTTCAGTAATGGTAGCTGGGCACCATCCAGTTCTTCTGGTCTCATGGCAAAGGAGGCAGTTGTCATGGAACCAATTAGCCACACATTCCATATCCTCCTCCTATTCCTGACTCTCCTTCTTCTCGAGTCACACTGTATATTTTTAACAATAATACAACAGAGATTATGCTGGGTTCTTCTCAGTGCATTGTATTAAGAGGCACATGATGCCAGCTTGTTCCCTTATTGGTGGTGTTACGTTTGATCGTTTTGTTAAGGTGGAATCTGCCAGATTTCTCCATTGTAAAGGTATCATTTTCCCTTGGTACCTGGGAATAATTAAACATGTATCCATAAAGTCTTACTTTCAGGCCATTTGAATAACTGGTTCCATAGCAACCTTTGATCCATTGATGATTCTGTCAAGAATGAAGGGTCTGAGATTTTACCCTATTCACAATTAACAAGCTAGGCTGCCACAGTTTTATCGATGCTAGTAGAAGACACAAGACTCCTGGGTCAAAGACTATTCATAGGAATAGTAGTAGCCAAAGTATCAGCATTTCCTTCTACCACTTCCCTGAGCCCTAATTCTCACAGGCCAATGCAAAGAGGACCAGGTGATACCTGCTAATACTGTGGGTTGCATTACAGTAGAAGAAGCCCTGAATTTAGGGAATCAGAATCTCTTATAATGGGCAGTAAGTCTACCTGCTGTCTTCTGCAGAGGGAGACATTATTTTATTCAACACTGAGTTTGCATGCCCTTTGCTCTGTAGAGAGACACTATCTCTAACTTCTGAGACGATTCACTAAACAAATATTCTTGAAAAGATAGTCCAGAAAAAGGCAGCCAGTTCCTCTGCTCATAAGACATGCAGAAATGTGAGAGATTCATGGAGAACTCTTTCCCAAAAGACCCTGAAGAATTATCTTTCCACAACACAGTCTAGTCAAGTTAGTCCTCTACTGTGGCTGTTTGTTCTCCAATATCCATTCTTTCCACCTTCAGTAACAAAACTCTCCCTCTCCCACAAGCTGTGCACATGCATCCCGGAATCAAGTCTGCATTTCCCATTTTCTCTTGCATCAAGCTGCGGCTGTATGACTTGGTTCTGAACAATAGACCGTGAGTGTAAGTAGTTTGTGCAGCTTTTGGAAAGTGTTCTCAAAGGGTGGGGAACATGCTTTCTCTTTCCTCCGTCGTATAACGTAAAATAACAACCTCCCTCCCCCATGGCACTTCCTATTCTTTTCATCTATTCTGCCTTGTTTTTCTCCATAGCACATAACACCATTTGACATTACTATTTATTTTACTTATTTTGTATATTATCTGCTTTTCTCACTAGAATGTAAATTCCATAAACAGTGCTGGTACACTCCAGTATATTTCTTGTAGTTAGTTGCTGTCAAGTCGGCTCCAACTCATGGCAACATTATGTAGAACAGAATGAAATGTTGCCCAGTCCTGGGCCATTTTCATGATCGTTGGTATATTTGAGTCCATTGCTGAGGCTATTGTGTAGTGCCTTCCAACCTAAGGGCTCATCTTCCAGCACTATATTGGACAATATTCTGTTGTGATCCATAAGGTTTTCATAGGGTAATTTTCCAAAGTAGATCACCAGGCCTTTCTTCCTAGTCTGTCTTAGTCTGGCAGCTCAGTTGAAACCTGTCCACCGTGGATGGACCCTGCTGGTATTTGAAATACTAGTTACATAGCTTCCAGCATCACAGCAACACGCAAGTCACCAGAGAACAGCAAACTGACAGACGGATGGTGGAGTGTATTTGTAGTAATTGTTAAAATACTGAAATACTTCTGTACCAATTGGTGCCTAGTTACTGCCCCAAGCTCCCGTGTGTCCCCTCTGGCACATCTCAGTCCCCAATTAGACGGACTGGCATGGTAGGGGGACTCCAGGA